ATGAAGTCATAGAGCAAAAAGGACATCACCAACAAATTCAGAGTGCTGAGTTATAGTTAGGAGGGCACTTTCTTTTCCAGGCTGCCCTATCTATGTTTCCTGGTAAAATACATGGGAAAATGCCATTGGAGGAAAATTCCACTTAGGGTTAGGGTTAAGTCCCCATGAAGTGATAGAGTAAAATGGACATTGCCAACCAATTCAGAGTGCTTGGGTATGGTTAGGAGGGCACTTTCTTTTCCAGGCTGCCCTATCTATATTTCCTGTTAAATACATGGGAAAATCCCATTGCCGGAAAATTCCACTTAGGGTTAGGGTTAGAACATTGCAAACTCATAGAGTAAAATGGACATCACCAACATATTTGGAGTATCTCGGTATGGTTAGGAGGGCACAAACATTTCTAGGCTGCCCTATCTATGTTTCCAGGTAAAATACATAGGAAAATCAGATTGGAGGAAAATTCAACTTAGGGTTAAGGTTTAGTCACCTTGAAGTCATAGAGCAAAATGGACTTCGCCAACAAATTCGGAGTGCTTGGGTATGGTTAGGAGGGCACTTACTTTTCTAGGCTGCCCTATCTATATTTCCTGGTAAAATACATGGGAAAATCCCATTGGAGGAAAATTCCACTTACGGTTAGGGTTAGGTCCCCATGAAGTCATAGAGCAAAATGGACATTGTCAACAAATTCGGAGTTCTTGGGTATGTTTAGGAGGGCACTTACTTTTCTAGGCTGCGCTATCAATGTTTCCTGGTAAAATTTATAGGAAAAATCACATTGGAGGAAAATTCCACTTAGCGTTAGGGTTAGGTCACCATGAAGTCGTAGAGCAAAGGGGACATTGCCAACAAATTCAGAGTGCTGAGGTATGGTTAGGAGGGCACTCACTTTTCTAGGGTGCCCTATCTATTTTTCCTTTTAAAATACATGGGAAAATTCCATTGGAGGAAAATTCCAATTAGGGTTAGGGTTAGGTCACCATGAAGTCATAGAGCAAAATGGACATTGCCAACCAATTCGGAGTGCTTGGGTATGTTTAGGAGGGCACTTACTTTTCTAGGCTGCCCTATCTATGTTTCCTGGTAAAATATATGGGAAAATCCCTTTGGATGAAAATTCCACTTAGGGTTAGGGTTAGGTCACCATGAACTCGGAGAGCAAAATGGACATCACCATCAAATTCTGAGTGCTTGGGTATGGTTAGGAGGGCACTCACTTTTCTAGGGTGCCCTATGTTTCCTGGTAAAATACATGGGAAAATCCCATTGGAGGAAAATTCCACTTAGGGTTAGGGTTAGGTCCCCATGAAGTCATAGAGCAAAATGGACATCGCCAACAAATTCAGAGTTCTTGGCTATGGTTAGGGGGAGAAAGAAAGTAAGAAAGCAAGAAAGCAAGAAAGCAAGAAAGCAAGCAAGCAAGCAAGCAAGAAAGAAAGAAAGAAAGAAAGAAAGAAAGAAAGAAAGAAAGAAAGAAAGAAAGAAAGAAAGAAAGAAAGAAAGAAAGAAAGATCGTTGAGGGACCTATGAACCCTACCCCGTTGGACCGTGGTACCAATTCGGGATTGGTTGATGGTTCACATGACTTATGGGTAACGTCAAACCCATAACTCATATAACATGATCCAAGGAACGTCTGACCTCGTCAAGATAATTTTTATCTTTCCCTCCTAAAGGTTCAAATGTCTATTTATAGGGTAAGTGTTTTCCAAAAAAGTAAAAGACAACCAAACTGTCCTAATTTTTTTAAGGATGCTGCACTCCTGCAAAAAAAAAAAAGTCTCAAAGATACAGGACAGCACACTTTAAGTTTAGTTCCTAATGTACTCTCACATTTTCCTGGCAAAGGTATGGAAGCAATTACATCTTACCATTTTTCAGATTTTTTTTTCACTTTCCATTTACCTTACAAGTTTCTGACTCTGCTTAGCTTCTAAGCTCAGCCAAGCATTGCCACCAGCTGAAATGCCCTCTGAGAAGAAGCTGACATTGATTAAACAAATGTCAAGAGCAGTTGAGTAGATTCCAAAGAATCCTGACCCAGGGAGCATCCAAAAGGACCACGCATGATTTACCATTGATGTTGTCCAAAGGTCAAATTAGGTTCATCTCTTCTTTTGTTTTTTTGAAAGCCTATTTTGCTTTTTTGGGCTAGCTTGAAGTTCTATTTTGAATTTTGCTGTGTTAATATAGTCAGGTGTTTTAACTATTTTTTTAATTGTTTAAGCATCAGATGAACAGAAATATAAATTCTTACAGACAAGCAAACATTTATATATGTGATTTTAAACAGGTATACGGATAGCACTGCCTTGCTGATGAGCTAGCTTGGTGTAATGATTAAGGCACCTGGCTGGAAACCAGGAGATCGTGAGTTCTAGTCCCACCTGAAGCACAAAGCCAGCTGAATGACCTTGGGCCAGTCACTCTCAGCCCTAGGAAGGAGGCAATGGTAAACCACTTCCAAAAACATTTGCCAAGAATGTCATCAAGAATCAAAAGGCACCAAAACAAAACAAAACCTTACTACCTTCTTACCAGCAACCTCAGTTCCATTACTTTGTAGCCTTGTTTGATGTCAGCCTTTAAATTTTGGAAAACTGTGAATACTGACCAACAATCCATAGCACCCCTCCAACTCAGCAAAAGTCTAGGAAAGTCTGATTTCATATCAAGGTCATACAGTCTGTCCTTGTAATAACTCTGAAATAGAGTCAAATCAGTAAAAGGCACATTACTTACATCACCTTAAAAACACATTTAAATCACAGTTTATTTTGTGGTCAGGGGAATGATACCAGTGATGGTATCTTTTTTTTAAAAAAAAGTTTTCTGCAAAACTCAGTGATGTGTGCCTTAATGCAATGCAATCTATTAAGCTCCCTAAAAGATTATCCAAAGCTGGCTTTGATTGTTCATATTGATTATTCATATGGTTCATTTCTCATCTGTTTCTGAGGTCAGAAGAAAGTATGGAAGAAGCATCAATTCTGTTTGTAGAAGAAAGTGGAGGGGGAGGGAGAGGAGAAGGGGGGGAGGAAAGATTGCCAAAGAAATCCAGCAGTTAACATTGCCACCCACTTATTTGCTACTAACTTAATCAAAGCTTAACTTCAAAGCAGTCCATAGCTGCATTAAAGAGGAAATTGCTCTTCAAAGCAAGCTCAGAGTACAGAACCATAATGAAGCCAAAGACTAAGGCTTCTCCTGCTTTTTATTGTCTCCTCCCCCTTTTTTGTGAGAGCTGAGTAGAATGTCTACAAAAAACAATGAACGGGTGTCTCAGAAAAGCAATTCCTGGAGAGAAAGATAATGAGCTAAATGTGAAAAAGGACTGAACACCATTGCAAATGGAGACTGCACCGTGTCTAATAATAAATAGCTTATCAGCATAACATGCAGCAATTTTATTTTCAGTCTTTGGGGTTTGTGATACAGTAGAAACCCACTGATCACATAAATCCTTGATGTCCAATATCTGTTGAATATTTGAAGTCAAACAGGTGATATCACTTTTCACCTCTGATACCATTGATAACTGCTTAAATTTCACACAATGAGAAAGGAATGCATTTAAATTCCATAAAAATCAAACAGGAGAAGATCATTACAAATACATTTCTGTGAGGTTTAAGCTTCACTAATTTACAGGATTGTAGCTACTATACTCAACCTAAGTAAGCAAGTAAAATATATCATCTGGACATACATAGTGCTTTGAGGATAATAAATGACAGAGTAAGAGAAGAGGGATATTTCTTTGGCTAAACTGTTGTAGTATTAATTACTCTGAATATTAACTTTGTTCCATAACAATGCCCAATTTTTAAAAATGTTACTTCTATTGTTATCAATTGCACAGTCATCAGAAATTAATCTTCCACGTTCTCAAGAGCTACATCAAGTTGAAATCAAATTAGAACTCTATGTTTAAAAAATGAACAGCCAATCCATCATACAAATTAATTGTCATTGCTAGCCTTACTAAAAAAACCTACATTACACTTCCCATCATTGTTCTAAACATATTTTTACACAGTAGCTATTATTCATTTCTTCTAATTCCTGTCCTTTTTCTGGATACCATCAGAGAGTCTACAGAGCTGAATTTTGGAAACAGATCCTCTATATGGCTAAAGTATGAATTTTTTACTGAAACTCTGTAACCTATATTATGTATATAAACCACATATAATGAACCCCTAGAATTGCTGGATCTTTCAAGCTATAGAAGTTTTATACACACACACACACACACACACACACACACACCAGGAGATACTATGCAATTTCTTTCTCCTAACAGTGTCCCTTGAGCTTCTGCTTTCTCTTTTCCCTCTTCATTTTGCAATTAACCCTGTTGCAATTTTGCTTGCTAGGACAAGCAAAGGAACACATGGGTGATAGGCTACCTGCAACCCCTCTACATTTTGACCTGAAACATAAGCTCATATCTGGTTCTCTTTTTGAATCAAATGTTCCACCTGATGAACAGAGATTCATAAATTGCATGTACATAATAAGCTGAACATAAACATGGTTTTCAAACCACAGTGGCTAAGCTAAAACCCAACCATCATATTGTATCCAGGTCATCACACTAAGCCCCAATGAGCTTTATTTGTTTTTCCTTCACATGTTTTTAATATCCTATCTTTATTGTTTTACAAATAATTCAAGGAGAGTATGACTAATCCAAGGTCACCCAGTTGTCTTTCATGGCTCAGGAGGATTAGAACTCACAGTCTGTAAACCTAGTTCATGTGGTTTGTTAATCAATTAGTGCATTATGAGAACATAGCTGTATTCTGTACTCCACATAATGATTTACACACCTAATTGTGCCAAGAAACTGGAGCTGTGCAAACATAAATATTCATCCTTCATGCAGATCAATCCCGTATCGACCGATGGATTGACCTCAGTCCTTAAGTCCAGAAGAAGTTGGATGGGCACTGGGGAATGCTAAACCAACTGTTCAGTCCATAGGTACTGACCTGTCCATTGGGAAATGGGCTTCTTCCCCTTTCCGGAAGTCTGTGCTATTCTCCAGCCTGGCTAGTACTTCCATCCTCTTCACCATTGTCTCCAGCATATCACTCATTTTCCTCAGCACTCCTCTTGACTCCAGAGTCCCCATCACTGCAGTCATACAGGAAAGCAGGAGAAAGAGAAAGGAACAGAAGAACATTCTACAGTGGTGCTCAAGAAGCAGCAGAGATACATTCAGACAGATGGAAAAGGCAAACATTAATTCTTGCAAATGGGAAAAAGGCGGGAAGAAGTTGCTGACAAGATTTCAATCCGACGCACATTACTACATGGTATATGCTCTGTTCTTGGATTAGCTTGTTCTCAGCAAAAACAATAAAATAACCTATGTGGCCCCTTAAAAGCAAATATAACATTATGTGATGGGCCGGTGTGAATCACTCCTGATTCAGATCAAAGTGCAGATTCAATAGGCAACGAAGGCATGAATCCAGCTGACTTTGCAATTTGGGATTCATAGATTAAGTTGAACTGAAAAAATGTTTATCTATTAGACTCCAATAAGAAGTTTGAGAGTGTTTGCAACACCTTCATTTTCCAACAGAATTTGGGTAAAAATAGCAGGGGTCACTAATCCTGTCAACTTTCAGCTATACGCTTTTTAAAATATTCTCCCTGCATAACCTTTAAGGCAGAGAAAGCAGGAGTAAGAAAAGGACAGCATAGCAGTTTCCAGACTACCTGGGAAAAAAGCCTAAAAAAACCCAATGAGATATATGTCCTATTCCAATTTTAAAACTCAAACAAACAAGCATTAAAAGTGGCTTTAAAAGTAAGTTCTAATTTTTTTCTCTTGCTTTTCTATACTGTACTGCTCAGCTTGGTATAATACTGAAGAACCATCACTGACTTGCTCATATAAGATGATATAGTTTTGTTGCCTCTGATCTTCAGGCTTTTGAGATGTCAGGAAGGTGGGTGCCTCCTAAGAAGAACCCATTATTAGTGGCAGGACTTGATGGTGTCAGGGTTGTGATAAACTGTTAATACTTTGTTAGCTAGTTATTAGCGGTAGAGACAGCAGAAGCAGGTTGGCACAATGAAATATAACAGCATGCACAGAAATAGCCCACTGAGAAAGTTGTATTTATAGCTTGCAATCCTCTATTTTTTTATTTTAAAAAAGTGTGCTTTTGAGCAGGTAGCCCTCGATTTACAACAGTTCATTCAATGACTGTTCAAAGTTACAATGGCACTGAAAAAAATGACTTATGACCAGCTTTCACACTTATGACCATTGCAGCATTCCCCATGGTGGCATAATCAAAATTCAGATGCTTCGCAACTGACTCATATTTATGATGGTTGCAGTGTCCCGGCATCATGCGATCATGTCATGTGATCACCTTTCATGACCTTCTGACAAGCAAAGTCAATGGGGAGGCCAGAATTATTTAACAACTGTGTTACTAACTTAACAATTGCAATGATTCACTTAACAGCGGTGGCAAGAAAGGTCATAAAATGGGGCAAAACTCACTTAACAAATGTCTTACTTAGCCACAGAAATGTTGGGCTTAATTGTGGTCGTAAGTTGAGAACTACCTGTTCTTGTGCTACTCTGATTCCTATTCATTTGTTGTCCAGAGACTTAGACCTGCCTCAATCTTGGGAATGTTAAAAGTAGAACAAGAAGTCCACTTTGTTCCTATATTCAAAGTGATAAGAATTGTTCTGATTCCCACTTGGTTTGGCAGGACCAGCAAAGAAGTATAAAAACCCCTAGTCTTAAAGTTTGTAGCAGACTATATTTAAAATGGTGAGACCTGAGGGAAGAAAGGAAGTATTTGTTATACTTCTGAGGAGTGAATATACTTGGCGAAATGGAAGATGGAACACAAATATTTATGTGCTAAGAATTTGTCTTTAATATATCACAAGATTCTTATTTTTTGACATAATAGACTAACATGGCCATCCAAATAAAGTTATATCAATAATTTGGCATTTCCAGGATTTGTGCTATAATCTTAGGCTTGTTATTCAATAAATACTTTCACAGAAATTCAGCTATGGGAATTATTTCTTGCAAAACATGTTTGGAGAACATTACAAACAGCATTAACTTCCATTATTTAATACATTTATCCATAGATTTCCTTATCATGTTGGCTGAGAAACCAAGCCTATTGGTTTTTTTATTGTTTCTTTCACGATAATGATAGAAAGACCTTGAGATGAAAGTAAAGGGCAGAGAACAAATTCATCCTGTATAATATTTATATGCACGCCCCCTACAAAGCTAAGTTGCTCATCAAATTTATTGCTGTCATTTCATTCTTCTGAACTTCTTTAAAGCAAATTTTCATTTACAAAGCAGTAGGAGGTTAGAGGACATGAGAAACAATTGGAGGCCTACAGACACACTGTAATGTAATGCATATTTTCACTAGCACCAAACATAGACCTGCCACCAAACAGTACCCCAATGTTTCTGGATTAAGGGACAAAGTTCTTTCAGCTCCTATATAGGTAGAATACCATACTGTATCTGGGATGCAAAATCTCTACTGTTCTGCTGCCATTTATGGGCTGTCTGGATGTTGCCAATCAAGGTATAAGATAATAATAATAATAATAATAATAATAATAATAATAATAATAATAATAATAATAATAATAATAATAATAATAATAATAACAACAACAACAACAACAACAATAATAACGATGATGATGATGATGATGATGATGATGATGATGATGATGGTGGTGGTGGTGGTGGTGGTGGTGGTGGTGGAAGGGACCTTGGAGGTCATCTAGTCCAACCCCCTGCTCAGGCAGGAAACTCTATACCATTTCAGACAAATGGCTGTACATTCTCTTCTTAAAAAATTCCAGTTTTGGAGCATTCACAGCTTCTGGAGGCAGGTTGTTCCTAAGATTCCTAATATTTATTTATATTTTTGCTTCTGTTATTTGGTTAGATTTATATCCATCCTTTTCTCCAAGAGTACAAGGCATTTTACAAGGTATCTCCCTTCATTATATTCCTACACAGCAATCTTATGAAGTAGGCTGGGCTGAAGGAGAGTAACAGGGCCATAGGCACTGAGGAGGTTTCCGTTCATGATGGAACCTAAGTCTCCCTGATCCTAGTTCAACCAATTAGCCACTATACCATACTAACTCTTTTAAGACATATTTCAGGAATCAAGGTTCAGGTCCAAGATGGTTATCCTTTAAATTTCAGGTTATTAATTGCATGACCTTTGTGGTGAGTTTTAATTCTTAGCAAAATTTCTATTATAATAGGGAAAGCATAAAGAGACCAATTTCTTTGTGCAGAGATTGGTAAGAAAAGAATTACTATAGCTATTGGAGTTCTACATATCTACAGTGCGGCTGTTAAGAGTAAAAAAAAAATGTCAGAAGCATGGCCATTTGAGCTAGGAATGTTGAAAACTACTTTGCATTTTCATGCAAATTTCTCCAGTATCTACTTCCGAAATTGTCCAGAACTTCCACCCCTAAAAAACCTCTTACAGTAGCCTATAATGGAAAAATACATTAAAGATATAGTATATTGGAGAAAATTGCTTGCAAAAGTGTATATATTAGGTGGAATCCATTTAAAAATGAATATTATTAGGAGAAAGTGCATACAAAATGCATATATTTCTGCAGATTTTTTTTTATGTTACAAAGAAAAGAGCTGAGCCAGACAAACACCCCACGATAGAAAAAAATGAAATGTACAGGTGAACAAAATGTATGAAGTTATTCAGTTAAATCTTCCTGAATAATTTAAAATGTGTTTCTCTATACAACTGAACTCAATACACCAGGGATAACAATCTTGCTATTGTTTACATGCTTATTTTTCCCCCAAATGAGAGCAGAGATAATTAAGAATCCCTGATGCTGTTGGGACTGCCAAATTCTTGACTAGTTCTGCTCCAACACTTTTTAAAGAACAACCTGACATGTAGAAATTAAGCAACTGGATTTTTTCCTACTTTTTTGATTAGTTTCCATATCTTCCTATCCATATTCACATCAGCCCTTTAATTTCTGGTTCTCAGGCTATGTAGAATAGAAAACAAAGACATCAGAAGGTGGTTCAAAACCCAATCAAAACTTTATCTATGACAGTACCAGCAGTTCAAAATATTTGACTAAATACTAGTAACTAGCCTGTCTTCAATATGAATGATCTGTCCAATAATATGAGATGACTTTTCCTTGTTTTACTGAAGGATTTCCAGTTGACTTTAAAAACTCATTTTTAAAGAGAGGGAGGGGGAGAGGGAGTGAGAGAGAGAGAGTTCTTCCTTTTTTTCTTGGCAACATGTCTTTCAGTTGTGAAGTGAGGTTCTATCTTTACCTAAGTGGTAACCTTGTGAACATCAAGCTTCTTCTCCATGGGCTCTTGCGAGATGTCAGTTTACCTTTGAATTATAATGACAATAGAGCTTGTATTATAGATAGTCCTTTATTAATAGGCAGAGGACAGTCTCCTGTTTGACAGATTAATTGATCCGGATAAGATAAATTCTCAATAAGTTGAGTTTGATTTCGAGTGAATTCATGGACACATCTACAGTATATTTTTTCTTGACAGCAATATAAAAATGGTTTGTCCAAGCATACTTCCAACCCAACCTAGTTTATAGCACATGATTTTTCAGTGATCTCTTATCCCACTACTAAATAGATCAGGCCCTGCTTAAGTTTTCATGAGAAACTAAGGTCAATTAAATGCAAGATTTAGATAAAGTATAAGAATAATATGAGGGGTCTTCATCAACAGCTGACCAAAAAAAGGATACCTAGAACACCCCTTCACTGCTTGCCGCCCTCAGAATGAAATGCATTTTTATTTACAACTAGCTGTACCCGGCCACGCGTTGCTGTGGCTCAGTCTGGTTAAATGGAAAAGAAAGAAAAGAGTTTTTACCTGTCACAGGTGTGACATCTATATAATAGTAGGTATATAAAAACACGCGCATATTCGAATGCAACGTTGTGTCAAAATTTCAAAGCAATCGGTGAAGAACTTTCAGAGATTTAAGATTTTGAACAAATGAACATTTACATTTTTATTTGTATAGATAGAATAACATTTTCTGAAATTGTGCCTGTACATT